AAAAAAAAAAAAAAAAAAAAAAACAGGAACTTTAAAAAATATAATAGCAACGCCTCACTGTATGGGTTATTGAACAGAAAATAAATATCATACTTTATCTCCATCAGCTTCTGATGCAGCCTGATCCTGCCGCAGCTTTTTTGCTCTCAGTTCACTGATTTCAGATCCCGACGCATTTTGAAGGGTTTCCTCAGGATGCATATTTCTGGTTCTAATAAAAGCAGCTGAAAAGAAACAGTTCAGCGTTAACATTCTTGGAGGGATGCGCAGAAAAGATTGAATAAACCAAGCACTACTTATTTGTATAACTGCGTCGGGTAATGATAAATATAATAAAATAAAATGAAATATAAGCAGAAAAAATTTCCCTTCCAAGTAAAGGTATGATCTTAAATATAGACAAATATTACGGAAAAAACAATCACAATATACAGCAACCGTCAGAAAGAAGTGAAAAAGAAATTTTATACGTAGTCTTTGTATGATAATTTTTCCAGTGTTCACCTTCCTAATCATGCAATAACGTATGAGATACGTATTTATTGAAGAAAAAAGAAAGAGAAAGACAAAAAGAAAAAAACAACACTGTACATTGTTGAAAGAAACCCTCTACAAGAAAACGTTACTTTTATCGGAGAAAAAAAAAAAAGGAAGAAAAAAAAGCAAGAATCGAAAATTAATCATTTCGCCTAAAATGTAAAAATGAAAAGGTAAGGAAATAATTCATCTAGGAAGTCAACGCACCCGAATAAACACCCAACGATAAATCGTCACAATCAAAAAGATATTACGCGAAAAACGATAACAGTAAGACAGAAGGGCAGAGTGTGGGATGTTGTTATCAAAGTTGCCATCCACTAAACCGAATTATTTCCGTTGCGCCGTCCACTACCGTACTAATAACTCTGCTTTAAGACAACTGCTTTTATTTTTTGACTTCAAATTCATGTCGCCATTCTTCCGATTATATGCATAAATGTACAAGTTTGGAGCTCAACTGTTCTAACATTTCATCAAATCTTGAAGGCGTTCTTCCCGATACTTCTGGCGCCACAGGTTTTAAGCATTTTTCTGCTGTTTCTTCAGCCACAGATGGATCCATTACTGGCGTTTTTTAGAGTTAGATTGATCCTGTATAATCAACATGCGATTTTCTGCTCGGATGCTCTACATATCTTATTTCTTCTTCGTCTACACACAACTTCTTCCGTCCCGACGACCTGCCAGTTGTTAAAAATGTGTTGCTTTCTCCTCAACTTTGAAGAGCTTTATTGTTACGGTTATATATGTGGCTAAAGCAGCTCATAAGCTTCGCAATGTCTTTTGAATCACATCTAAAAAAATACCTTAGTCTGCACAGTAACTCTCCCAGCATTATCGACGTTCGGAGCATGTATATATTTGGGCAGCCTTATGCGAAATATATTTTGGAAGGATGTTGTGGGAAAGAAAATAGCGAATTTGGGGGATTCAATGAAAGATTTATTTTGGTAAATGCAGCCCTGATAGAACAAACGAAAACGGTAGGATGTGAAAAATGTGGTGCTTTGAATCGTAAAAAGTGAAAAGAATAAAAAATTAACCAGTACTGAGCAGAATTCAGATACTTTTCTAGTTTTTAAAAAGTAAAATTTTGAAATATCCTTTTTCGTAAAACTTGACAAGAAGCTGTGCGTAGTAAATCGGACTACAGTCTTTTCTTTTTAAGACCTGGCCACAAATTATAGTAAACTGAGGTTATATATGTATATATGTTTTTTATTCAAGAGCTTCTTAGTATTATTCAGCGTTTTAGCGGAAGTGAACTTTGTTTATAGCACTGAATTTAATAGATTAATAGGAAACAACGTTGTCTCCTAGCGACTAAGCTAACACTAATGATTTTTAAATGAATGTTATGAAAAACAAAAACTGATGAGATCATAGAAGGTGGTTCAGCCAAAGAGACCTGAATGTTGTCACTTGAGCGATAGCTTAATGTCTACACTTTCTGAGCGCGTTCTTTAAACTCATTACGAAACTGAGGAATTAGCTCATCGTTTTTGATAGTGTCTTTTAGTGGTTGATGTCGTCGTTTTCCAGCTTTTTATTCTGCTATTTAACCAAGATTTATTGTTTCAGACTACCACACCATGTTTCACAATACATTCCAAAGCGGTCTTCTCTCGATACTCTATAGCATTGGTAGTAAGCCACTACAAATATGGAGCAAAAAAGTAAGTACATTACGTTTTCCGCTAAATAATCTTTGACTTTTTATGCCAGCTGTCTGACGCTTCAACTTTTGTTTTCTTATAGGGCTGTCTTCCAATGAAATGGTTTCAGAAACTTAGGTTTTTTATTTTACGTGTTTATTCTTGTCAGATAGACCAAGGTTTTGAGGAAGTAGGACTTTGGTATACAGCTTTTAAGGTTGCGGAAATCAGAAGTTGTTAAATAGGGATTCAAGTTATAGCTTTTACGCTTCTGACACGTGTTTTCAAACCTTTATCATTCAAGTTAATATAGCTGTTTCCAGAGATTTCTGTTTTATTTTTTGTTTGATCTCCACTTTGAAAACTTAGTTGTTTATCAAAATCGGAATTTAGTTTGATTTTTTCAAGTCGCTCTTCTTTAAATAGAGGAAGTTAGCACCTGGTTGAGGTCAAAAATTTATTAGTTTTTTTTTCAAAAATTTTCAATGTTTCAAAACTTGTATATTGAAGTCTGGCTGTTTATCTGCGAAAATTTGTTCACCTTGAATCATTTAAGACAGATTGAAACGACTTGTGATTGTTAGTTAATTATCTTCTGTAAAACTTCTTAATTTGTCAATATCATTCTTTTTTGAGGTGCGTAATGGGCATATAAAAAGGATAACTGATGATGACATACAGTCGTTAATTATTGAAATAATTGGAGCAAACGTCAGGTTAATGCCTTCTGTCTCTGTAAAAACTAAAACAATTTCCATCTTCTTTAACGCTATCTATTTGTAGTGAAAAGGACTATGCTACACTTTGTATAACTTTATGAAATGTTTTTTTTAGTGTTGTTGGCTGATTTTTGAAATTACATTCTATTGAAGGGTATAGCGAATGAAACAAGCCCTTTCTTTTTCAGCACTGCCTATATATCTTGTCCGCTTGATGCTAGTAAAACACTTGGAATTAAGTTGCCGTATTTTGTAATGATTGTGAAGAACCTAAAACGCTATTTTTCTTTTGAAGTTCAAGTAAGGCAAATTTTAAAATACTCTGATTTTTTGGAACTACATTTGTTGGATTTATACTTTTGGGCCTGAGTAGTTTGAAAAACTGAAACGTTTCTTTTGTTTCTCTAACACCAACAATTTTAATAATTTATTGTTAAGGTACTCGATGATAAAGGTGTGAAAAGGAGATTTCGCGCTTCCAATTATCAATCCAATACTCGAGTAAAGCCATTTATCTGCACGATGCCAATGCGGTTGGATGATGGCTGGAACCAGATCCAGTTTAACTTAGCTGATTTTACCAAGCGTGCCTACGGAACTACTTATGTTGAGACTCTACGCGTCCAGGTGCTTTTTTTATCCGTTTTCTGTAGAAAGATGTCTTACCGCATAATAGGCGGGATTTAGCCTTATATTCTGGCATCGAGTAATTTTCCTCATTCAGGTTGCTGTGCAGATTCTTTTTTACTTTTTTTTTCTAATTCAGATCCATGCGAATTGTCGTTTGCGTAGGGTTTACTTCGCTGATCGCCTTTACACGGAAGAAGAGTTGCCTGCTGAGTTCAAATTATATCTTCCAATACGTGGTGGAGTTGGTGTTGCTCCGTCATCGCCAGATGAAGACCAACCTACAGTGGCTGCTTGAGATGCTGGTATCTCTCGTTTACTATTCTAAAAAAATTAAATATATGTCGCCAATGCTCTGAGTAATTGTGAGAATCAATTAAGTTGCAGGAAATAGCGTTATTTCGTTTTGAAAGATTTTAGGATGTATATGAATGGTAAGCGAGGTAGATACTAGAAAACTGTATATGATAATCAAAAATTACTTTTTGGCTAAAGCGTTCTTAAAACTCTCCTGTATAATCTCACTTAATTTGTGTGGACCATTATTGTCTATTGTAGTAGTGGTTTTTAAAATAATATTGTTATTGCTCTCTGTTTTTTGAGTATTATTGTTAAAAAAGTGATTCAGCGTAAAATTCCAGGTCTGATATTGAACTATGATTTTTTTGATTCCATGCATCAATTTGCTTTATCATTTGTTCAAATGAATGTCAAGCGGGTTTCTGTGCAGTATCTTGTTCCTGTAGTTGACTGGTAGTTGAAAAGTAAAAATTAAAACAAGCAACCAGCCAATGACAGTATGTCGACGGTTTTGTTTTCTGAAGGATATGTAAAGTTTGCCAAAAAATTAACACAAACAATGAGTCACAAACCATATTACTTTTTAGTTATGAAACTTTTTAAAGTCTCTTTTTGGTACTGTTAGCCTTGAGTGCGCTAAAATTTTTTTAAGGAGTTTTACTGTGAGTAACATAGCTGAGTTCCTCATTTCCACAAACATTTTTCAATTTGACGAGTGCGAATTCTGCCATTTTGCAATGACAGCTCAGATCGTCGTTTCTTAAAAGAGGCAAGAGCTGGAAATATATCACGATCGCTGTATATGCTATTACACTGTTTCTTGCAGTGTTATTTTCAGTCGACTTCATTATAAAATTTGTTGCTTCATGCACTAGAAACGCCGTCTGCGATGTTTTTCTCTTGGATATGGGACTTTGTTAAAGATTAAATAAGGGAAAACAGCAAGCAAAAGGGTTAGTTCTAAAGGAGCTTTGGTAAAGCTGCAGCATCTTTACTGGACGGAGAGACAAAGTGTTGAAAAACCTGCTTGACAATAAAGCACTTCTCCGCGTCGATTCGTTCTCAGAGACAACGCATATCCGATTATTGCAAAGTATATGGGCTATATCTACAGTACCTTCACAGGGTAATGTCATACTGCTCTTGTAAGGAAACTCGCGATTTGAAACTCGTTTTGTTAAAACCCATAGCATTCCTAACTTTGCACCTGTCACGCAGGAAGATTCCGTGTCAGCACTTTCAACTTTTTACATAGCAGCCTTTTTGCTCCATTATTATTTAAAGCAGAACTCTACACTCGTAACTCTGGGCAATCTCTGGGGTACCAAAGAAACAGTTCTCAGATTTACATAATGAGAATTTTTTTGATATCTTTATAGAAGGAAAGTTGCACTCAGTAAAGAATTCACCAAAATTGTCCTTTACCCTTCAAAAAAAATTTATCCGCAAAAGACATTTAAAAAAAGAGACGGAATTGGATACTGTCCATCTTCGCTTTTTATCCAAATTTCGTCAAAGATCAGAATCTAGTGCATGTCAGATATGATTCGCTAATTTGCATTTATCATTTTTGAGACTAGCTTTTTCTCTCGTCTTGGAGATAATTTTTTACTCTTCTCCTCTGCAGGATATCTCATAGTCTCGTGGTGGCACTGACTCGTAACTCTAAATTCTCTAAGTCTTTCACAAACGACCATAATACAACCGCAGGATATGAACGCCGTTTAGAAGTCTTCGTCTGGCGAATTATAGAAATATTACGGGCAAGAGGGCTCAGATTCGCTAGTAGGTGACAGGTGATGTAATCTGTTTTTTTTTTTTTTTTTTTTGTTCCAATCCCGTGATTTCGAGGAGAAAATATTCAAAAAAAAATTTCTTTCTTCTAGCTATTTAAGGGAACGTTCAAAAAGGGCAGAAATTTGAGACCGTTTTTCTTGGTAGACCGAGATAGTATAAGTAGAACAACGATGCAGAATTCTCAATGTAGACCTGTTGGTTCTTCCAAAGAGTGGAATATATGAGAATGAAGGAATTTTCAATTAGGAGTCTGGAACACTTCCCAAAAGATGGTCTCAGTTTGTTACACGTATCACTATTGGTTTTAGTGCACCTCATTCGTAACTGTTGAAGGAATGGATGGGCTTATTTGACCAGTACACCTCGTTCTCTTGCAGCATTTGAAGGAAGAATTCTGGAAGTCTTACGTTGCCTCAACTCAATTTGCCACTCAAACGAACAGCCGAATAATGAGAGCAGAAACATTATAGATAAGCGCAACAGAATTTTTTGGGCCTTGCCTTCTGTTTTTGAAGAGATTTACAGAATCTGTTCTAAAAAAAAGAAGAAATCAAATGTATGCAAATTTGATCTAAGTGGCTCCTCCATCCAACAACATCATGAGACTGGGAGAATGAGGGAGCTGTACAGCTGCTTAGTACATAAGGCGAACGAATTGTAATAGTCAGAAATCAAATTCAAATTCTTATATTTGGGACTCCAGTCAAAAAAAAACTTTAGATAAGTCGTGAGATCTTTAAAAGCACAAATCAGGTAACCCTAAAATACATTTAGGGATCCAATTATTATGCAAGTGTTTTGTTGGTTGGCGGAGTGATAGTTGATAAGTGGTAAGTTAAGTAGATAAGTTAAGTAGAAGAAAAGTTCTGATTGTGATATTCAAAAAAAAGAAGTCACCATCTGTGCTTTAATAAGCACGATAAAAAGGTTATTGAAATTTTAAGACACTTTATGGCCATCAGATTCCAAGATGACAGTCAAGTATAAACATTTCTAAAATATCTAAAAAAAAATTTTTTTTACCAAACGCTAAAAATTTTCTGCAAGTACTATCGAGCAGTTCAACATACCTGCCATCAGCAGTTTTTACGGAGATGACTTAAATATGCCGTGATCTGTTGGTCTATGATACTTGTGCTGGATCGATTTTGCCTCTTTCTAATGGAACTTACTTAATCAAACCAGAAGTTAAACTTGTTAACTTTAATTCTATTTCCCTATTATTTTCACTTCTTTGGCTGCTTTAAAAAAAATCTTCTAAATTATTATTTAGTAGCAAAAATAAAGAGTATTTCCTTCAAACAATACGTCACTTATAACCTCTATTTCAGTCACGAAGTAGTAACCACAAAATTTTTTAAAATCACTTTGGTCAGTTGGCATAAGGTTTTGCTTAAAAACAAAAAAAGGTGTAGTTGGAAGCAAAAAAAAAGAGAACTGCTCTCGTCGTAACTTATCAACAGATTAGTTCACAGTAAAGCTGGTGTGCGCAAAATTGAAGAAGGCAGTTTTAAAGGTGACAAAAATGGATTTATACAGCATTCTCGCTATTAAAGCTTTGAAGAATAGCACAGAACACATCTGGGCAAACGGCTTCACCATACTGGAATTTTGCCAACTGAAACTACTGACAAATAGCAGCCGACCAAAAAGTTATAGACGACAATTGGCTGTTATATTGGCTGTGAAACTTGGCAAACATCGGGCGTATTCTCTTGGCAAAAGCTCGCTATTTTTCAGCGGGGATTTAAGAATTCGCCGTTTTTCTTGGGTTCGCTTTGTTTTTTGGAAAAACTTTCCATGTAATTTGCTTGGGTTATTCTTACCTTATTGTCGTCTATGATTTTCCCAAGTTTTTATTTTTCTTCCTCAGTTATC